GCAGAGTGTGGCTTCTGGCTGGGCAGGTCAGTGTATGCCAATTTCTGTGGTGAGCAACGTGGCATCATTGGATTGATGAAAGATCACTGCTGTATATAACAGTTGCAACTGCTGCGACAGTAATGGGGGATGAGCACTGAAGAAAGTAGGATAAGGTACTGAGTGTACCCTGATATATCCAACCATAGGCAGTAGGTCCACTTCTGGATCCTCTATAATAACCTGCATTAGCAAATGGATACATTATCAGATTATGTACGTGTCCTTGTAAATTAGTTTTAATGGGCTTTAAATATGTGCAATGGTATCCCATACACATCTGTGTGTTGTGGTTTGCTTATACTGCATATGTGCTTTGGGGCAACGTGATAATTTATACATAGGTGTGAATGGAACCTAAAGGTAAGAAACCTGACAACACCACCTTCCCAAGATACTAGAAATCTTCTGCTATGTGCCTCTCTGAAACTAGTGTTACTTAACTTCCAGTCTATAATAGGTACAATGAATTTCAGAGCGGCAAAGTGGAATTTTATGGCTTACACAGGTGACCGCGAGTATCTTGAAGATAGTAATTGCAAAAAATAATCTTTTAGAAAGGAAGTTTACTTTGAAAATGAGAATGGCTGACAGGTTTACTTTAAAGAGTAATATGGCTGACAGGTTTACTTTTCAAAGTAAAATGGCTGACAAGTTTATCTAAAGGGACTGTTCACACAAGCTCAGTCTGCTGCAGTGAGTTAAATAGTATTGCATTAATGTCAATATTTTGAACGGGCTGCCCAGCGCACCACTATGAACCAAAACTCACGCATGCAGCATTTTTGGCAGCACAGTGCACCGCAATGCATGTGCTTTGAGAAGGTGTGTTGGATTAACTAACCACAGAAAATATTTGGCCGAAACAGTGGTTGATGCTTTGAACAAACTTCCAGCAGATGTAGAGAGTGAGTCAACAGTAAATTCATTTAAACATGCTTGGGACAAACATAGATTAATACTCAAACATAAATCAATAAACAAACGAATAAGAGGTAGACTAGATGGACCATGTGGTCTTTTTCTGTCATTACTCTTCTATGTTTCTGTGTTAGTTCTTCTGCACCTCAGGGGCATCTTGATGGCTTGCTGCTTCAAGTAGAGTTGCATTTGGATTTGGATGTCAAAGTACACATCACTCTGTGTACACTGAAGGACTTTGGCTGGGCTATTAAACCTCAACAAGACCCCCTTTTCCCCATTTCTGGATTTGGAATACTTGGGGCTAATCCCGGATACCAGCTTGGCAAGGCTTTTTCTTTCACAGGAAAAGCTCCTGAAGCTGCAGGATCAGGTCAGGCATATTTGGATCTCTCAGTGGTTCTCCTCATGTTCTTGCATGAGTCTCATGGTGGCTGCTTATAAAGGGGTTCCTTTTCGCATGATCACTCCAGGATCCTACACAGAAGACCCTTTGCATAAGGGACTAGTTGCGATTATGATGATAGATTTTTGGATGGGGAGTCGTCTTGGGCGTATTATCAACCTAGGGCCACTGGAGCAAGGAGGAAGCCCAACTCCCCATCAAAGTTCTGGAACTTAAGGCTAGAACAGTTTTGGCTCACTCCGTGCTGTAAAAGTCAGGCATCGAAAGATGGCAGGCAGTACCCTGGAGGAGCGGTCCTACTACCTAGAGATTTTTTGATAGCCTTGTCTCAGGTGGGGAACAGACATGGATCTCATGGTGTCCCATTTTAACAAAAAGCTAGAAAAAGTGGTAGCAAGGACAAGGGATCTTCTATCAATGCAAAGGATGGTCTGGTAGCTCCATGGGATCAATATAGTCCATTATACTTATGGCTTGTTGTGCGGACTCAGTCCGTCTGCTCACAGAAACTCCTTCCTGTCTTCTTGTCTGCCTAGACCAGCTAGGTCCCATCTTGTGCTATGCTTTTCAGTTGGTTGCTTCACAACATGGCTGTTAACGCCCAGGTGTTAATAGAAAAGGTATTGTCACACAGCCTTGGTGAGATCGCACAGCCCTGGTGAGACGGCGCACACAGCCTTGGTGAAACCCCGCACACAACCCTGGTGAGACGGCGCACACAGCCCTGGTGAGATCGCACAGCCCTGGTGAGACGGCGCACACAGCCTTGGTGAGACCCCGCACACAACCCTGGTGAGACGGCGCACACAGCCCTGGTGAGA